GCTGCAGGCACTGAGCCAAGGACCCCCTGTATTCTTAATAACCTTTGTATTTCCTTACCCAATAGCAATTATTGATTAAAATCTCTGAGTGTGTGGCCTGGGAACTAGCATTTAGCAAGGCTCCCTGGTGACTTTTTAGCCCTTTACCATTTAGATACCTACTTCTAATAATCGCATTGCTTTCACTTTAATAGGTAAAATCAGGCAGCATCTTTGACAATGTCCTTCTTACAAATGATGAAGAGTCTGCTGAAAAGGTTGGAAATGAGACCTGGGGAACAAGAAAGGTAAGATGCTCCCCCATCTTGGATTTCAAATATCAGAAAATCAGCCCCATAGTTATTGGCTCATTCTAGTCATGTGGCCTGAGAGGTGGGGAGAAAGAACCCCCATTCCTTGGACGTCTCCAACTCTGTACTTGTGGCTCTGTAAACACTTTCCAAAAGTTATCACAGTCAGCCCTTAAAATAACCCAGCAAGACAAATATTTTTACCCTTATTTTTTCAGATTCGAAGGATAATATGTCCAAAGTCACAACTGCCTTCATCTTGTTGATACAGAATTTGAACCCACAACTTATGCTCCATTTATCACACTGCCTGCTTATAGTGAGTGTTTTGTTTTAGAGGCCGACTTGGTGGCACACGCCTGTAATTCTAGCACTCTGAGAGGCTGAGGCAGGTGGATTCCTTGAGCTCAGTACTTTGAGACCAGCCTGAGCAAGAGCGAGACCCCACTCTCTACTAAAAGCAGAAAAAACTACCCGGCATGGTGGTGGGCGCTTGTAATCCTAGCTACTGGGAAGGCTGAGGCTCTAAGAGGATGGCTTGAGTCCAGGAGTGTGAGGTTGCTATGAGCTCTCATGATGCCATGGCACTCGACCCAAGGTGACAGAGTGAGTCTCTGTCTCAAGAAAAAAAAAGAAAGCCCACTTCTGATGGATGACTTGCAGAAAAGGGGAAGGTGATAATGCTGTTTACCAGCTCCCCTGATCACCCAGAACTATGTTATAGGTGGAGTGATACCTGGGACAGTGGCCTCATAATGGTGACATTCTCCATCCAGACTTCCTGGTTCTTCAGGAAAGTCCATTCCAGCAGGTTTCTGGCCAGTGCTTGATTACCCAATAGGCAGGGTAATCATGACACTTATGCTCAGAGCACCAGCAAAAACACAGGTACCAGAAAAAAAAATTTCTTTTTTTGAGACAGAGTCTTACTTTGTCGCCCTCAGTAGAGTGCTGTGGCATCATAGCTCACAGCAACCTCAAACTCTTGGAATCAAGAGATCCTCTTGCCTCAGCCTCCAGAGTATCTGAGACTATTGGCACCTGCCACAACACCCAGCTAGTTTTTAGAGATGGGGTCTTGCTCTAGGTCAGGCTGGTCTTTGAACTCCTGAGCTCAGGTAATCCACCTGTCTCAGCCTACCAGGGTGCTAGGATTATAGGTGTGAGCCACCATGCCTGGCTCAGAAAATAAAAAAAAAATTTATTTTTTGAAACAGAGTCTCATTTTGTCGCCCTCGGTAGAGTACTTTGGCATCACAGCTCACAGTAACCTCCAACTCTTGGGCTTAAACGATTCTCTTGCCTCAGCCTCTCGAGTAGCTGGGACTACAGGCACCTGCCACAATGCCTGGCTATTTTTTGGTTGTAGTTGTTGGCAGGCCTGGGCTGGATTCAAACCCACCAGCTCCAGTGTATGTGGCTGGCACCTTAGCCACTGAGCTACAGGCGCTGAGCCTCCCAGAAATCTTTTAGACTGTGGAAAGAGAACAGACATTTCTAAAGTGGGTTGACTTTGTTTATACCATCTGGAAATTACTTTGAAATTTCACATTCTAAACAGGACCTAGAGAAGCAATGGAGAGAACGGTACGAAGAAATTGAAAAAAGAAAGCAAGAAGAAGAGGCCAAGAAGAAAAAGGAAAAGGAAGAGGAAGAAAAAGATGACATCTGGGGACTTGAAGAAGAGGGAAATGAAGAGGATCCTGCTGAGGAATCAGGAAACGACAGGCAGATGCAGGAAGATGATGCTGACAGAGTGTTTCTGGGTCAAAATGAAGAAGTCCTTGTTGACCAG